CTTCCACAAAGAAACTCAATGAGCGTGATAGCAAATGCATATCTAAGTATTTCACAAAAACACAGATTCAACTCTTTACCTTGAAAAAAACAAACAAACCCTACCTATCAGGTTGACTATCTTTCAACTAACTTAACGCTTGAAATAACTCTAGTCACTTTATAACTTATCTCGTATTTATAGTCGAACTTCGAATGTACTAAAACGCTTTACGTCACATCCTTAGAACTTTCTAGATGTTCTACGCCCATATTATTAAACCTTTTGTTCTGAATGTTATTATTAAGACCGGCAACTCCCTCTAGCCAAAATTTAGTTTACAACAATACATTATTTAGCTAAAAAAAAACAACAACAACAACAAAAGATACTTGCAATCTTAATGCTGGAAAATCCCTCAAATAAAAAGGTAATTGATGTGGCAACAAGAGATTTCAAACCTTATTTGATGGGAATCTCAGTACATGGAAGTAAAAAAAAGTTCACCATCTGTTTGGCTTCAAATCGTTTCCGATTGCCCTTTGTTACTCGTTTTTTATCATTAGCGTTATTTTGGCACGTAACTATCTTCAGCTGCACAAGAATACAGGTACGTGAACGAGCACAAGGTAGATGGGGCTCGAGAGAATGCTTTGAATACCTGTCAAAAAAAAACATACATAAAACTTCCTTTTTCGCGGTTGAAGCCACCAGTCGCGAAGACTTCCGGTGAGTTGGGAGCATGTGAATTAGAACTTAAGACTACCATCACCTGCGCGTGCCTCGCGGCGAAAAAAAAACAAAAAAACAACACCCGGCAGTAGTAAAAACGTTGTAGAATCGCGACGAACCGTCCCAACTAAGAAGTGCATTCACGACCAATCACGTACGTGCACGTGAACGTGTCTTCAGGGATTAGATGAGAGTATTCAGTCAACTGCGCAAAATAATTGTTTGTTTTTGAATTTCGCGCAAAGCTACACGAGGGCTATCTGCGCTAGCCGTCCCTAATTTAGCAGTGCAAGACTAGAGAGAAGGCAGCTAGTCATCACCACCCACCGCCAAATCTTGGGCTACTCTTTTACCAACGAATAGTGGGATTGACCGTCACATTATAACGCCCCCAAGGGTGAAAGGGCGAGCATGTTTGGTGTGACGGGGATTCGAACCCGCGACCCTCACGTAAAATAATTAAATGGTAGTTTAATTTGTTAAATTACAAGCTATATAACAAAACATAACCCAATTCTTTAAAACAATATCAGTTCAAATTACAATTAATTTTTAACTGTTGTATGTGGCGTACATTACAACTGAAACGTTAAAATATGAAGCTGTAGTTAAAATAGAAAAAAAAACAAATTAGCTTTTTTTTTTTTACCTACGGGTTTGAGTTACCATACAGTAACCTAAATTAATTTTGGTATGTGAATAATGTTAAGGCATTTCATCGAATTCGATATTATAAAGCGGGCCAAATGTTTAATGATTGTATACATATATGTTAACGATTTTTTTTCACCAGAAATCTTTAACATATATATATAGATATAGATTTGTTTTGGGATCTAAATTTGATGTGTGAAAAAAAAACCCAGCTAAATATTATGATTATGTAAAATAAAAAAAAATAAAAAAATGGAAGCTCGCGAACAGGATTTCCTTGAAACTGTATTATAATTTGACTTGAAAATAATATATTCCAGAGAATAAAACACGTGATATAAAGCCGCTTTTATTTTCATTTTTTCTGAAGTAAGTTTCTGGTCGGACTACAAGCTGCGTCGTTTTGTTTAATATAATTTATTTTGTATAGCCTTTTGTCTCTGACAAGAGAATCTGTTATCTTCCAGTGATAAGCACAAGTACCCGGATGAGATTAAGTGGCCGAGTCTATTCGTGCAGATCTCATTCTTAATTCTGTCTTTAAGAAATTCCATGTTTGATAACGCAAACAGTAAATGTATGTATGAATTTACGTGTTATCAAAAACATCACATGTCAGAGATGTTAAAAGTTACGTCTTTTTATCCGCCGACGATCTATAATTACGGACCAAACTTGTAAAGCTTCTTAAAAAAAAAAAAAAAACAGCCTAGGTTTGTGGGTATTGGGTTTTTCCGTTTATTTCGTGTCCTGGTCAGCCTAGCTAAATCCTGGAAAAAAAAAAATATATATATATATATA